GTTACAATAACTTATAATTATAAGTCTAAACCTTAGCACTAAGCATACTATGTACAGAACACCACACCAGAAGGAAAAGAGATAGGAAGAGAGAGAGAGAGAGAATGAAAACCAGGTTCCTTCTGACCTCACTATGATAGTCAGCATGACCTTGACAGAAAGAGATAACAGAACCAGCTGTACTCAGCTTCTCAGAAGGAATAACCCAAACATCAGTAATCTTCTGCTTGCTTCTTTCACACAGAGCAGCTTTCAGAACTCTCTTGAATTAATTAGAATAGGAAAGACCTCTACACATCAATCAATACTTGATCTGAGCACAATTTAAAGTGTTGGTGCTGACCTTTAAAGCCCTAAACAGCCTCGGCCCAGCATACCTGAAGAAGCGTTTCCCCCATCATTCAACCCAGACACTGAGGTCCAACACGAGGGCCTTCTGGTGGTTCCCTCACTGCGAGAAGTGAGGTTACAGGGAACCAGGCAGAGGGCCTTCTCAGTAGTGGTGTCTGCCCTGTGGAACACCCACCAGATGTAAAAGAAATAAACAACTATCTGACGTTTAGAAGACATCTGAAGGCAGCTCTGTTTAGGGAAGCTTTTAATGACTGATGTTTTAATGTATTTTTAATCTTTTGTTGGAAGCCTCCCAGAGTGGCTGGGGAAACCCAGCCAGATGGGGGGTATAAATAAATTATTATTATTATTATTATTACTCAACCCATATTTCAGCCTAAGTTACCTCACAGGGTTGTTGTGACCGTGTACAACATCTTGAGCTTCTTGGAGGAAAGGTGGGGGTATAAATGCAATAAAAAATAAATGAAAAGCGGTGCACAGTTGCATCTTGCCATATGATGGAGAGGATGCCAAAGTCTTTTACACTTATACACACACTTTTTCGCTAACACACCCAGAAATGCTAGAGAGCAACTATTGTGAAAACGCAGCCATTTTCCATAGAAAAAAGGGGACACACACACAGACGGGGACACACACACACACGTGTGTGTGTTTTTTTGTATGTGTGTGTGTGTTTTGTTGCCATTTCCAGAGGCTCAGCGCAAGGGGTCACAACGCCAGCAGGTGGTGCTGTTTGATTTGATTCGGCAATGCATAGGGCACACAGATGTTGACGATGAATATTACAGGAAGGAATAATTCATATGTTACTGATGAAGAGTGTTTGCTGGAAAACTGCCCCCCTGCCAGCCACATTTCCTAAAGTGCCCATTGGAAGACATCACAATTCAAGCATTCCAGGAAGCGCAGGAAGCTGTGGAATCACCAGAGACCTGTGGAATTTTTAAAGTTAAAAGCAAGAGCACTGCATGACCATCTCATAATGTTATTAGCACCAAAGCAAAAAAAGTCAACCTCTTTGCAACCACACCCACCTCAGAAAATTTCACTGAGTTTCTCTCTCACCCCCTTACCATTTTGGGGAGGCAATTTATTTCTTCCCCCTTGAATGGTCAAGAAAAATAAATAAATCAACCAACAAGATCAGTTCAGTCCTACTATTTAATGTTTTAGATAATGTAGTGTAATAACCCCATGCCATTATTTATTTATTTATAACCCACCAACTGACTGAAAATAATAATAGTAATAACAGTAGTGTCCAATAAAATCATTCAAAATTGTAATGCCACAAAAATGCAGAACCAGCGACCAACAACAACAATCAAATTAATTCTCAAAATGACAAAACAGGAACATAAGCAGGCGACCAAATATAAAAATTATAGGTGCCTTTCTGATTTCAAAAGCATTCCACTATGCTAAAAGCCTTAGCCTACGCAGAAAATAACAGATACGTGTTGTAATATTAGCACTGTGTCTGTCAAAAACCTGACAAACAAACTTACCAAGCCATGTGCTGACATTCAACAGTGTGCAACAATCTGCTCCAAAAGGGGACAATACCCAGCTAGATTTCATAGGTCTGAACTACATCCAATTTTCTTTAGGCTCCGTAGAACCATCATTATTCACACTTGATATATTTGTAGAATTCAGCTATATTTGGGTCAAAATGAGAAGTTCTATGAGATCCATACCAATTTTTGAGATCGGGGGGGGGGAGGGGCTCAGACAATATAGCAGAAGTAAGCAGCCACCTTTCCCAGCCCACCCAAGTCCAAGAAAGTAAGCCTCAGAACAAAGCACTATCAAACCGGGCTTAAGTCTCAGAACAGTAGGAAGAAATACAAAACACAAAAAAGGGACAAGTCTTGTTTCATTAGTTAGTTATCCACGGGAATGAAAAGTAAGCTATACAGTACAATCCTAGACATGTCTAAGGTAAAGGGTCCAGTCATGGCCGACTCTGGGGTTGCGGCGCTCATCTCGCTTTATTGGCCGAGGGAGCCGGCGTACAGCTTCCGGGTCATGTGGCCAGCATGACTAAGCCGCTTCTGGCGAACCAGAGCAGCACACGGAAACGCTGTTTACCTTCCCGCCGGAGCGGTACCTATTTATCTACTTGCACTTTGACGTGCTTTTGAACTGCTAGGTTGGCAGGAGCAGGGACCGAGCAACGGGAGCTCACCCCATCACGGGGATTCAAACCGCCAACCTTCTGATCGGCAAGTCCTAGGCTCTGTGGTTTAGCCCACAGTGCCACCCGCATCCCTGACACGTCTACTCAGAAGTAAATCCCAATAAATTTCACAGGGCTTACTCCTAGGTAAGTGGGTATAAGGATTGCACTTCTTAAAACTTAATGCGGCAAGTTGCTGTTGAGAGTATTTTGGGGAAGTGTTTTGCAAAGCAGTAGAATTAAGATTAGGACAGGGTGGTTGATCAACAACGTGGCTTTTAATGGCTTCCACTTAAATGATTGATTAGATTATTATTATTTTTAAAGTACATATTACCAAAAGCTCAGTAAATGCGCCTTTGTGAATAATTCTGGATAAGTATTATATAACTTACTTTGAATGAGCTGTTCTGCATAGTTGTAATGACTGTATTTAACAAATCCTTATTACAACAATATCCCAGATCCAGACTTGTTCATTTCTCTTTAAAAACTGCAGTGGGTTGTGAACGAAAGCTGCTTTTGTGAACGTTTAAGGCTCTTGATGCTTAGTTTAGAGGTCTGTCCTTTTCTCCTTGGCTAAAATGCCATCCTCTGATGTGGCTTTAAACAAATTCTAACCTTTCTCTAGTCACCTGAGAAACAATTGCTTCCACATAGACTGTGAAGTTCTCACAATTCCCTTAGGAGGAAAGGTGCCAAGAACAGTGTCTTGCAAATGGCACTAAATTGTACCTTTGGGACTTGTAAGAGGGCAGAAATCCCCTCAGACGACCTCTAAACAAATGCTTTGAGTTTGAATTTCCCAGAGCATTCTTTTTGCGGGAACCAGCCTCACTTCAGTCTTGCTGAGGGCATTTATGGCACTACAAAGCTCCACCCACACTGCAAATGTACAATTTAGTCAACATTTTGGTAAATTATGGCCAGGTCTCAGGAGTTTCAGAATACAGCTGTGCTCATGGGCTTATCTCTTCAACCCTAATTCCTGGTCTGTTTGGTAACATAGAAAGATGCCTTGTATCAGGGTCACACCATTGGGTCCACCTAGCTGAGTATTGTCTATACTGATTGGCAGAAGCTTTCCAGGTTTTCCAAGAAGGAATATTCCCGTACCTTCCCGGAAATGTCAAGGCATCTTCTGCATTGTTATGTACTGAGTTGAATAGGATCCAAAATGCAGCAGTCTGATTGGTCCTAGAACAATAGGATTCAGAATGCAGCAGTCTGATTGGTCCTAGAACAATAGGATCCAGAATGCAGCAGTCTGATTGGTCCTCAGGAGCCACCCAATCCAGCTCCAGGTGGAAGGGAATCCGCAACCTGATTGGCCTACAGGAGAATCCCGGAATTAGCCAATCACGTGGGGCCCATTGTGTAAATAATGTATATAAAGCAGACATTCTGGGGGAACTTCCATTCCTCCTCACCACTATGAGCTGAATAAAGAGCATGAAATCCACTCGCCACTCCGAGTATATTTCATGGATGCAAAGCAGATGCTCTACCACTGAACGACAGCCCTTGCCCTTGATACAGCCATCAGTATGATACAGTCGTACCTTGGATCCCGAATGCCTTGCGAGTTGAACGTTTTGGCTCCCGAACGCCGCAAACCCGGAAGTGAGTGTTCCAGTTTGCGAATGTTCTTTGGCACCCAAACATCTGACATGGCTTCTGCGGCTTCCAATGGGCTGCAGTTAACAAAAAATAAAAACAAATCTTAAACATTTCAAAAGAAAACATTGCTAAGTTAAGCCAAATATAAAATGCACATTTAAAACAGCATAATTAACAAGAGAATAAAATATTATAAGCATGACACGGCTGTTTGGCAGGCACAAAAAGATGGGGCAAAAGAATCTAATAATTAGGATTTATTGTCAGGCATAGCGATGTCCCTCCGGTCTCCCCAGGCCTTTGGGGAATATGCTCCCTGGGGGAGATTTGCTCTGAGTGAGATTTATGGGAATTGGAGTAAGGTTACCAGACATCCCCGTTTCCGGGGGACAGTCCCCAGATTTACAAATCAGTCCCCTCACAAAATCCTATCATTTCTACTGAAGTTGAAAAGTGCCTCTAGATGCATTGAAAAAAATCTGGCAACCTTAAATTGGAGCCCAACAATAAATGGAGGGCACCATGTTGGTTGCCCCTAGATAATAAAACTCAGCTACCAAAATGAGAGCTGGAGAGAACGGCAACATCGCTGTTACCATTTCATTTGTACACTCTTTCCACTCCCCCCCTTTTTTTTTGAGGACCAGATTTCTGCCAACTCTACCATGCAACTAGCTGCTCATGGTGGAATACTCAATTCCTAATAGACATTTGCCAAATGGCTGATGGGAAGAGGGTACCAAGGCCACTTCTCCACCATGTGAGGACTATACCAGCCCTGACAAATGTATGGAGAAACATATTATGGATAAACCTCCTGACATTCTGCAGACTTCTGGGATAGCTCAGTTGGCAGAGCCTGAGACTTGTAATCTCAGGGTCAGGAGTTCTAGCCCCATGTTGGGCTAAACCATTGCAAGGGCTTGGACCCTTGTGGTCCTTTCCAACTCTACAATTCTATGATTATGTCCCTTCTAAGGTCTGCAAGTGCAAATCCCAGCCATTTCAGTGAGGAATTATTTGCACAGGAGAGGAGATGGACTGAGTCTTTAGTCATGAACACTGTGGTCATATTCATACCATAAATTCAAAGCACTCCAATACCACTTTTACAATCCTAGCTTCCCCCAAAGAATCCTGGGAACTGTTTGTTAAGGCTGCCAGGAGTTGTTAGGAGACCCCTCACAGAGCTATAGTTTCCAGCAACCTTACCCAGGATTATTATTTTTTTTTTGGGGGGGGGGGGGAGTCATGATTGTCAAAGTGGTGTAACATAAAAGTGCTTTAAATGTATGATGTGGATTTGACCAAAGTGTTGACGTCAATTAAACTGCTCCACTGTGAAGGAGGATCTGCTGTTATTCATTTGCAACTGAAGGAAGCTATAGTTCTGGATCCAGAAAGCTGGAAAAGCAGAGAGTGAAAAGTAAAAAGAAGAGAAAAGAAGATAAGATAAAATGCTAACGGAAAGGGCAAAGCAATTTTTAACTTTCAGCCAGAGTAAAAATAGGGGGCTAATTAGCAGTCTGTCTCCAAGGGGGACATCTTCAGCACTTGGGGAAAAAAAATCCATTATTAGACGTTATTCAAATCATCTGAAGGCTAACTGGGAAAATTACTTATCGTATTATAGATTCCAAGGAGAGGCACTGGTACTACTGGGGCAAACTAGTTAGCACACCCTATTCGTTATGGGCCTTATAGCTTTGTCCTCATGTTTATGAATTAATATCTGGGTTTTGTAATCACAAAGCTGCCTCAACTGGATCGCACTTAGTGTTATTACACCTCACCCTGCCCATAGCAGTCACCGTCTTCCCCCTGTTCAAGCCGTTACTAGGGAAGTATAAGAAATACGATTCAGTTCACATTTAAAGGCACTTCTGCACCTTCCGAAACTTGCGTGATTTTGCAATTCCATATACCTTGCAGCTGAGGTAGTTGAATATATTTTTGTATTCTTGAGTTTTGTCATGGCTTAAGGCCAACACAAACGCACAGGAACTGAACTGATTTTTATTTTAGCACGTTCAGTATTGAAAGAAATGCTCTCCAAATTAGGCCTAGCTCTCACTGAGTCAGCATAAATGGGTTTGGATTACACCTGACTGCATACACCTTCCATACCAAAAAATAAAAAAGGAATCCTTGCATATAGAAAACTAGCACATCAGGGAGATGGATTCTAGCTTACCCCTCTCCTTGGCAGTGTACTGTTTTTGTGTGTGCAGATGGTGCTGTATTTTTCCAAAGAGACTCTTCATGCTTTAAAAATACCATGGAAATGCCCAGAGTACATCTACCACTCTGTAAAAAGACTGACTTGTGTTGGATATGCTGAACTGATCTTTGCCTTGAGACCTAAGACCTTCTTATTTTGCAACAAATTATTCCCCTTATATGTTCTCGAATCATGTAGTGTTTGCTGAAGGAAAAAAAACCTCCTACTTTCCCCCTGAGAAATGATGAATCTCATTCAAGCCCATTAAGTGAAGCGAAAATAGATACGCTGTATTGAACTGTAAAGGACAGGAATTAAAACTCCTATATGCTTCCAATACAGTGCAATCTGCTCAGATAGCAAACAGCATATGAGCCCTATTTGTAACAGAGGAAACTGTGAAAGGGTTGTCACCATCTCATTTCTTTCCAATAAACACTTAACTCTCCTTTGGCAGTTGCCTGACATAGCCCTCAGCTCATTTTTGAGCAACGTCTTTGGGTGGCAGGAGTGTCAGAAGTATTTTCTAAAGTTCCCCCATAATAATTATTTCATTAACCACCTTTCAAGACCCATTAGTGGAAAGCCAGGCTAGCAATATTTCAAAGTACAGTAATGCATACTTTTAAAGACCATTTATTTAACTATTAACAACAAGTTAGATGCCTGTAAAAATTCTCTAGGTGACATGCTCCTCTATAACAAAATCCGAAGTGGAAAAGGACATACCGTATTTTTTGCTCTATAAGACTCACTTTTCCCCTCCTAAAAAGTAAGGGGAAATGTGTGTGCGTCTTATGGAGCAAATGCAGGCTGCGCAGCTATCACAGAAGCCAGAACAGCAAGAGGGATTGCTGATTTCACTGTGCAGCGATCCCTCTTGCTGTTCTGGCTTCTGAGATTCAGAATATTTTTTTTCTTGTTTTCCTCCTCCAAAAACTAGGTGGTCTGGTGCGTCTTATAGAGCCAAAAATACGGTACATATAGCAAATGTGAAATCAGCAGAGATATCAGGAATGGTTTAGGTGATGTTTTGTTTTTAAAGATCTGAAAGGGAAAGTCATCGGCGTGTACATTGTGCCAAACAGATAATGCATAAAGTGGCCCTCATTTTGAGCCTGTCTTGTTTGAGTTTGGAAGTAAGTAAGTTTGATCTCAAATCTGACCTATTCGTTACCAATATGCACAGTCCTTCAACTTCAAAAAAAATTTTTTTAATAGCAGCATGCAATTCAGAAATACAAAACTTAGGCCAGCTGCACGTCAGAGGATAGAAAACGAAAAGGCATTTAATGGTTCTTTCTTGACATATTCCTGATTGTGTGCAATGTGGTTATTTTAACTGTTTTGGTTTTTTTTTTTGTTTTTTTTGCAATCCCCCAGAACAATGTGCTATTGGTATCATTGCCCTGACTAACTTTGGAGTTGGCTGTCCTCAGTATGCTGTCCCTCTCCCTGCCTAATATATCCTACAAATGTCAGCATTCTTCCACTCTGGGACCTCAGATATCATTAGATGACAAACCCCATCATCCCCTTATGACTGACCCAAAATTGAAAAAAACTCTGCAATACAGGAAAGGGTTTATGGCTTAAACATGTCCAGAGTTCTCTGCATCGTGGAGCAGCTCCCTCATAGAGCTGAAGTGGTACTCTTGTCAGCGTCACAGATGTGAAAAGGATTCCCTGAAGAAAGGCAGAAAGTCTGAAAACACCTTTTTAGGATGAAGTTTCTCTAGACACTATTGCTCTCCAGAAAAATATTGCTCTGAGTAGGAATGGGCAGATGATAATAAGCTGGTGCCTTTTGGGGTGCTGCTACTGCGAGCCTCTCCATAAGTAGGCTCAGGTTGTATATATGTTCAAATAAACCATACATCATAAAGACACTGTAGACTCCGTTGTGCCTCATTCCTGAAGGAAAGACAAACCCGGGTTAAATGCCAAGACCCTGGAATCTCCTGTACCGCTCATTGGAGACAAGAGATTGGACTGTACTGTTAGGACACTGTCCTATAAAGGGGCCTAAAAACCTTATAAATAAATATAATGAATTAATTAATTAATTCACAGGGTTGTTGGGAATTGTTGTATGCCTGGCTTTTTTTTAAGGATATAAATATGTTAATTTATATAATACTATAAATAGTTTGATTGCCTGGTACCCACCAAGCCATGCAGAATATGCCATCCTTTTTATTTATTTTTTAAATCACCAAGTACATATGTAATAGCTTGCCTTTATATGAATATAAGGGGTTGGATGGTACAGAGTAGACTGTGATCCTAGTCGTCAACATAGTTGTCTCTGGTAAAAAGCTACCAAATTTAAGAAGCTATCTCTAGTAAAATATGCACAGCGGGTTTAGAAAGTTTACAACCCGCCACAGTGCATGCTCTCTCTCTTTGCCTCTGTTGATCACTTCAGAACTTTTTTGGGTAGAAAATGATAATGGAGAGTATAAATTTAATAATTCTAACCAAACCAGCCATGTATGGTGACCCACCGGGGCCAACTTCTGCTCTTAACGTTTCCTCAACGAAGCGTCCCAAGGTGGGCACCCCCCCCCCCGGTCATAGATGGACCTTTTCCTTTAAAAAAGGAATGCAGCCATTTTGATTTCCCAAAAAGCTCTGGAGCAATGATGTGGGCACCATCTGCTCTGGTTGCTCCTCTCTCCCACTTTCTCGACATAAAGAGAGAGGGGAAAAAACACTCACAGAGTATATTCAAGTTATGTCTTCATAACAAACCAGAAAAAGAAACGGATTGCCAGTTACTTGGTGTTACCAACAGTGGCCTTGAAAGATCCGTCAAACAAGGCACTGCAGGATACAGCAAAGCTATAATTCTTATGTTGCCTGGCTTTTAACTGCTCTGAGGAGAGATGGTTTTATTCCTCCAGAGTTGACTCATTTCTATTTCATATTTTTTTAAAAAGGTAAAACAAAACCCCAGACAAATCCAGAGTGATCTGAAGAGACACAAATTTTTTCTGGTGACCGATGGGAATCTTTTGCACACTCAAAATGATTGCTCAATCCATTCTGTTGTAAACTGTCCAGTTCTAGGGAGATGACAGGCTATGTTATGCAGCTCCCATTAAATCTATAACCAGAGGCCAAGCCAAGCAGCTCCTAGAGATCATAAAACCATTAGCAAAGATTAACTGCAGTTGCTACTGTGGAATTCTTAAATAACCCCAAGCATGCAAGAGAGGGGCACCATTGCTTCCAGGTATATAGATACAGGTATATATATTAAAAAACACAAAAACACCAGAGTAATCTACATTAAATATTCTACCTACATTGCATATCACTGAATACTAGCTGCTGGAAATAGCTGCTGAGTAGAGTTGTTACACTTAGGTCTTGCTTGTAGGGTTGCCCTATGCCCTATGTCCAGAATTTCCCTGACATAGCCATCGGAAACAGTGTCCAGGTGGAAATAGCTAAAACAGGCATATTCCTAGCTAACAGGACCAGTGGTCAGGGATGATGGGAGTTGTAGTCTCAAAACATCTGGAGGGCCGGAGTTTGCCTATGCCTGAGCTAAAATGTCAAGGAAAATCCGGATGTATGGCAACACATGTCAGCAGTGTAATTTTTGGCGATTTTCTTTAAAAATAGCTCAACAACTACTTCTTTTTCACTTACAGGCTGCCCATAGGCATCTGATTGGC